CGTACTGTTGGTGCTATAGTAGGTTTGCTACTACTGTTAATTTCTGGGTTTTATTTGTTATTCTTCCCAGAAATATACTGTAAGTAAGGGTAAAGAAATAATTAGTAATCATGCAATTTGTTTTTTTTTATAATAAAAAAAATAATGTAAATATAACATGGCTTTTATTGTATACTCCTGAAAATATTTTATTAAAAGTATTACTGATTGTACATTTATTTAATCACTAAATCACTATTTATATCATTAAATATTTCATCGCTTCACTAAATATTAATCGCTTTGTTAAACATTTAATTGTTTCGCTAAACATATAATCACTTTGCTAAACATTTAATCGCTTCACTAAACATTTAATTGCTTCGCTAAACATTTAATCGATTCACTAAATATTTAAAATGCCATTAAATTCTAAATGCAGCAGAAAATCAGGTCCTATTTGGGATCATTTTGAATGGGGAAACTTAATTAATTCAAAGCATTTTCAAGCAATATGTAGTTATTGCCATGAACCAATATTGGGGGTTCCTGAACAAATGCTTAATCATTTAAAAAATACTTGTAAAAAAATTAGTAAAGAAGTAGAAGACACTTTAGACAATATTAAAATCAATAAAAAAAAATACTCAAAACAAATGTGTTTGAGTTAATACTTCTCCAGATGAAGAAGGTAATATTACCAATTCAAATCAAACTTTGTCATTAAATAATCAAACTTCACCATTAAATAATCAAACTTCGCCATTAAAAAATCGACTAATTTATCAACAATTATTAAGAGCTCTTATTTCGACGAATGTTCTATTTAACTTTGTAGAAAATGAAGAGGTTAAGAAATTATTCAAAATACTACAACCTTCGTATGCCTTACTATTATGAAGATGGATTAGTACAGAAATCTTAGATAATGTACATGACGAAGTAGAGATTGAAATTCAAAATTTTGTTGATAATTCTAAATTTTTAACTTTGTCAGGGGATGGATAGACAAATGTTTCGAAATATAGCTTAGTTAATTTTATAATTACGAATAAAAAACGACAAAGTCAAATATGGAAAATTTCAGATTTTTTAAACCAACACCATATGGGTATCATAATGTTTGATGTCTATAAAGAATTAGAAATATTATTAGATAATAAGTGGGTTGGATTCATATCAGATAGTGGTTCAAATATGGCAAAGGCATAATGAATGGTTGATCACAATTCTGAATTACAAGGAAAGATTCTAACAGTACCTTGCATAGTATATCAAACTAATTTATTAGTTAAAAAAATTATTAAATCTAAACAATTCAAACCTATAATCTTGAATATGCTTCATATTATTAATCATTTCCATAATTCAAATTGAGCCCTAGCTAAACTAAGAGAGTTAGAAAAAAATAAAAATTTAACTCCAATATATCCTTGTATTACTAGATGGGCAACATTTTCAAAAGCTACAGAGACTCTTTTATCAACTCGAAGTAGCATGTGAGTTATAGCCATTACAAATCTGAATCTTTTAACTATTGGAGGAAATAATAGTTATAAAGTAATTAATACAATTAAAGATGCAAATTTTTGGATAAAACTTGATAAGTTTTTCATATATTAAAACCATATGATTATATAGTAAAAATTTTGGAATTAGATAAAGTAACACTTGAGTATATTTCAATATATTGGGCATGGCTTAGAAAAATTATTGATGAATTACCTGATAATAGTAATTTTTTAGACTTCAAAGACTTAATGTTAAATGAAATTGATAATTGATAGGAAAAAATTTACAATCCAATTTTCATAATTATGTGGTTTTTACATCTGCATTAGTACAATAAAGGAATAAGAGAGAAAAGATTTCTGCAATTGCAAGAAAATACATATAGCCTATTTTGTTTGCTATATCCAGAAAAAGATAATGATATATTTGTTGATAAATGGCTTATATATCAAAATTATAAAAAATTTTTTAACAAAAATTTATCACTTAACCACCTGAGTATTACTCAATCACCATTAAGATATTGGCAAACTGTATTAATCCATGCGCTGAATTTAGCTGAATTTGCTTGTAGACTTTTTTCTATACCACCAAATTTAGCAACATCTGAAAGAGTATGGTTATTAATGGGTAATATTCATACAGAACAGCGTAATCGATTGACATCTTCTAAAACCGCCAAACTGGCAAAAATTGCCTGGTATTTAAAAAGTAAAGAAGATAAAATTAGTTCAACATCAACAACTAATATGCTAGATAAAGATAACGAATTAGGTGATTGTAATTATAAAGTAGATAAAATAATAAGTGATTTAGAACAAGTTTCTTCAAACATAATTGATGATATAGAAAATTTAGATCCAGATAATTGAAATGATTTACCAATTATTTCTCTTTTTGAATATTTTAATTTTCAATTAATTTATAATGTAATTAAATTAGATTAGAAATAGAGCTAAGTATCGAAATTGTCAATACACCTATTACTTTTTTCGTAAGATTATAAGATCATATAATATATTAATATATAGATTGAATATTATTATTTTAATTAAGATTTTTGTAACCTATAGATGAATTAAGATTGTATAAGCAGATAGTGAAGATATTAAAATACTAACAAATAATATTATAAACCTTATAGTTGTCAAAATGACTTTAACTATTATAGAGAGTGGTAATGGTAACGGAAATTCTATCATTGTTACATATTTCTGCAAGTACACTTTTGTGAAACTATTATCAGGTAAAACTAATTAAAGTATGATTGATCACTAATTACATCATTCTATCGATGCTTTCTATGTATTTTGGATAATTCAATTATTAATTGTTAAAAATGATTTATTAAATTAACAATTTTATGTTAACAATTAATAATTAGAAATTCTCATCGCTAATCTTATACAAGGTTGGGCTATTATTGCAAACTTAATTAAAGCAAAAAATAAATTAACTATATTTTTGCATTTTTAATAATTGTGATTTTCAAAGCCCGATAATGTATGTACAAGTTTATTTAAACTATATACGTATGTACGTACAATATAAAACATTATATCAATTAAATATAAACTGCTATTGTGCTATAAATTCTTTATATATGTATTAGAATTTATGCATAAACTTTTTATAAATTTAATTACAAATTGAATTTACTATTTATTTCAAATATTCTTTCTTGATAATTTAATTATAAATGTTTTTGATTATCCAATAGTAAATATTCTTGATTTAAATAAAATAAAAGCCCATATCAGAAATCGTAGCACCATTTATTGAATCTCTTAATTCCCTGTTGAGTTAAATCTTTTCTATAGTAAATTAATTCTGGTTCGATATTTGATAAATATCTTTGCCAGTTTTGTTTGTTTCTAATTAATAATTTTATTTAAAAGTGGCTCTTGCTAATATTCTTTTATATCTTTAGAAACATTAGGACAAATGTTTGCAAGATGTGCTTCTATTTCTGCAGGACGTCTACAGTTTCAATACTTTAGACAATAATGGCAAGTCACACTACAATCATTAATATTATTACTTGTTATATAATAATCCCAAATTTTTCTTTTGAGAGACCTGCGCTTTTTCGTTTTAGTGTTCTATTTTGTTTTTCTAAATACGTATCAATTTGGTTTGACATGTTTAAAGATAAATTTGTAGAAGCTAGTTTGTCAATTATATTAATAGAAACAAGTTCAAAAGAGATTTTAATAATAAAATTATTTTTATTTCCATTATATATAAATAATGAAAGCTTAAATTAGTTATACAATTTTTTTTATAAATAGTGATAGCTTAAATTGATTGTACAATTTACCAATGACAAAAATTATTTTTGCATTTAATATAATTAAGTTTCAACACTAGGGGACAATTGGAAATCAGTCTAGTAAAAAGCAATGGATTAAGATAAACAAACACTAGACAATACCTTAATTTTCGGCCAATAGTATCCTCTTGTTAAAGTGCCTGCCTAATATTAATTTAGTCAAATTAAATAGTAAATTGCCAGTTCGAGAGGGTGCTAATCAATTTTTAAGATTTAAAATTTAAAATTTAAGAGACCCAGAGTACTATTTTACTGAAAATTACAATATAAATTAAACAAAAATCATCTGCTTTTAAATTAAGTTATAGTATGATTCTCCGAAGATTATTTTCTGACAGGCCACTTATCTGACATCACACAGGGTAACAATTTGCTAAAGATATATAGCTGCAACTAATCAAATACTAACCCTAACTCTAACTCTATATAATGTCGGGTAAGTGTCCTGTCAAGAAAGTAACTTTCAGGAAATGGGCGACAACCTTCAAATTACTGTAACTTAAAAAAAAAAAATTAAATTGATTTATAACAAAGCTTGATTTTCGGATACAGTAATTTGATAAAGTATAATTTTATTAACAATATTTTATAACGTTATTACAACTATATCACTGGACACTAGACATACAATGGATATACACTGGACTATTTGGAAATGTCTAGTGTCTAGTAAAAAAGCTAGATTTCCCAATCCTGATTCTATATATCTAGAATTAGCTGGCGTTAGAGTATAATATAGGCCAACTTGATAACTGCATTTTGTGTAACTTACTTTGCATAAAGTAGGGATGTTAAGTGGTTTGCAGAGGACTGGTTTTGGACCGGTTCTGAACTGGACTTTTTAAGACTTTTAGGGACCATCTACAATCAGTCCAAAATTAGTCCAGATAATCACATAATATGAATCAAGTGACGTTTTTGATATCTCAAGTGAAAATTAATATAGAATGAATCAAAAACAAAACTTTTAAATTTCTGAATTTAAATAGGCTCTAAATAGGCACTAAACTTTACTAATTGGGTGATTAATAATATTTATTTATTTGTAACATGAAAATTTGTACGTACAGTACGTGCATATGAATGTACTGTACGTACGTACGTAGTACGCACATAATTTATACTTTGAAATCATTATTGCAAATGTTTCTAAACTCTTCGAATAATTTTAATAATCATGGATCAAATATTTGCACCAGAATATTTTGATACGATTTTTAGATTTCTTCCGACTAATAAAGATTTACATTCTTGTCTCTTAGTTAATAAGCATTGGGCTGCTTGTACCGTTCCAATTTTATGGGAAGCACCCTTCAGAATTAAAAGCGAATATATTCCATCTCCTAAAGTGATCAATACATATCTCGCATTTATACCAGATAGCATTTTTTTAAAATTTGGATATAAAGAAAGAATTGGATTGTCGACTATTAAGCCACTTTTTTTTAATTATCCATCATTTCTTAAAGAGTTCTCATATGACCAATTCCTTACTGCAGCTATAGCGAATAAATGCTGTAAAAATATTATAATTGAATTGTTTAAAATGCTTGCTATGAATGATGTAATATTACGCCAATTTGTTATCTATAGCTGCTTTAATCATTATTCTATAAACCTAGATAATATAGTATCTTTGGTTCCTCTCCATTTTTCTGAATGCGCTTCTATATTTAGTGGGTTGACTTATTTTAATTGTAGCTATCAATGGCCAACGCAAAAAACACGACTTTTTGATATAATAGCAAAGAACTGCCATAATATTAAAAATCTTAAAGTCAGTATTTACCATGAAGATGAAGGAATAGCTTTATCGGCTCTTATCTGTTCTCAAAAGCATTTAAAAAGGTTCTCTCTAATTAACAGTAATGATTTTGCATCACTTCCTATCCAAGCTCTTGTGAATCAAAAACACTCACTTAACAGTGTAGCATTTGAAGACATGCATTGCAATCATAATTTAAATAAGACAGAATTTTTTAATTATGCTATTTGTCAATTAAATAACAGTGCTATTAGCGTATTGACTCAGTGCACAAAAATCAGCAAAATGAAATTTAAACACATTGAAGGGCTTAACTCTTCTGAATTTCTTCCTCTTGCCACCGCTTTTTCAAACTTAACGTCTTTAGAATATTCTTATGGTACTTATAACATTTATGATAGTGCAGCTCCCATTGAATTATTATCTGGTCTTATTATGACAAGTTGCAATACACTCAAACGAATTATGCTTGATTGGCATTCCCATGATGATCTTGATATTACTCAGCTTGTCAAAATTATTGCACAGTATGTGATAAGCCTCGAATATTTAAAAATTCCACTCTATACATTAGAACAACTTGCTCAAATTCACAAAACTCATAATCAATTAAGGAAACTTGAAATTAATATGGGTGGAAGAATAAATCCACATTGTGCACTTTCTCTTCTTGCAAATGTTCCGCTCAAAAGCCATAGGCATTCAATTCGATTGAACTTTGACTATCATGAAAATTCAACCCTAAAATTCAATTTATTAAATCGGATCTTTGAATCTATTTTCTACAAAAGTAATCGGGTGGTTGACTTTGTTTTATGTCTGCATAATGAGTCAAGTATTTCAATAGAAGGAAAAGAGATGCTTTTAAAAAACTATCCGAGACTAAACTTCTTGAATAGAGTGGATAGAAATATAAACTTTACAGATCCTACAGAATCAGATTCTGAAATGTGCAGTGATGAATTGCTTAAAATTTTTGATAATTTATTAGAAATAAATTCAAATGACATATGGGCATTAAAGCAACGTGGAGAAACTTATTTTAATATAAAAAAATATATAGAATCACTTGAAGATTTGAGTAAAGCTTTAGAAATTGAACCAAATGATGCATACATATTAAGAATACGTGGAGAAATTTATTATTTTATGGGAAAATATGAAAAATCGTTAATAGATTTAAACAAGTCACTAGAAATTGAACCAAACAATGCATGGACATTAAAATTTCGTGGAATTACATATCGTCATATGAAATTATACGATAAATCACTCGAGGACTTAAATAAATCGTTAGAAATTGTTCCAGATAATGCTGATTCTTTAGGAAATCGTGGAAGGACTTATTATATGATAGGAGATTATGAAAAATCAATTGAAGATTCAAATAAATCACTAATGATTGAGTCAACTAATGCAATTGCATTAGGGAGCCGCGGCGCGATTTACAGAATAATGAAAAAATATAATCAATCACTCGTAGACTTGAACAATTCTCTTGAAATAGAACCAGATGATGCATTTACATTAAAATATCGAGGTGCTATTTATACAATAATGAATAAATGTGAAGAATCACTTGCAAGTTTAAATAAATCTCTTGAAATAGAACCAGATGATGCATTTGCATTAAAATATCGTGGTTTAACCTATCTTACGATAAATAATGATTTAGACAGTTCTTATGGATTTTATACATGTCGATATTATGATAAATATGAAAAATCGCTTGCGGATTTAAATAAGTCACTAGAAATTGAACCAAATGACGCATTTGCTTTAAGACATCGCGGAATAAGTTACTGTAAGATTAATAAGTATGAAATGTCGCTTAATGATTTAAATAGCTCACTAGAAATTGAGCCAAATGACGCATTCACATTACAACAACGTGGCGTAACTTATTGTTATATGAAATTATATGACAAATCACTCGAGGACTTAAATAAATCATTAGATATTATTCCAGGCAACGCCGATTCATTAGGATATCGTGGAAGAACTTATTTTATGATAGGAAGATACAAAAATACATTTGAAGATTCAAATAATTCATTAGAAATTGACCCAACTAACGCAATTGCATTGGGGAACCGTGGTGCAATTTACAGAATAATGAAAAAATATGATAAATCGCTTGTAGACTTGAACAAATCCCTCGAAATAGAACCAAATGATGCATTTACATTAAAAAATCGTGGTGTCATTTATATGATAATGAAAAAGTATGAAGAATCTCTTGCAGATTTAAATAAGTCTCTTGAAATAGAACCAGATGATGCATTTGCATTGAAATATCGTGATGCAATTAATGTATCGCGGAGTGAAATATTATATTACTAAGAAATATGAAAGGTCACTTAATGATTCAAACAATTCGCCAGAAATTGAGCCAAATGACCATTCTTATTACAACAACGATATAACTTATCGTTATATGAAATTATATGATAAATCACTTGAAGACTTAAATAACATGGAAAGGCTTATTATTTGCTAGGAAATTATGAAAACATCGAAGAAAAAGTTTAAATAAATCATTGGGAATTGAGCCAACTAATGTAATTGCTTCAGGAACTCGTAGTGCAATTTACAAAATAATGAAAAAATACGATGTCTCGCTTGCGAATTAAATAAAGCTCTCATAATAGAATCAGATGCTGCATTTGTATAATAAAACAAGGGTGCTTGATTTCGGAATGATACGGTATTTCCAATAGCAATAATATATTAATCTTTAATTATAATGTTAATAACTTTTGAAATAAACCAGAAAATAAAGACAATTTTGGTCAAAATAGTTAAATTTATGTTTACTTAAGAAATCAGGTGATTTTAACTTACTAAGAGGCCCCTCCCAAAAATTATTCAATCAAATTTATCATGACCTGATCAAACAAGAAACCCTCCTCCCCCTTTAAAATCAGCTGATTTCTACCCGCTCCTTTATAGTATAACCACTATTGATTGTAAATACTAAATATTTATATTATTTCTTATCCGATTTCTTCAAATTGCTCTGAAATTTTTTTTTAAACTGTTATTTTTAAAATAAAATTTAAAAAATTTACTTTTACTATTTGTTTTTATATCAAATATGTAAAACTGATTCGCTTAATTTTAAAAAAGGCTTGATCACAAGAAATATTTTATGGCGACCTATAATAAAGATAATAAAGATTTCCTGTTTATTACACGGGCATGATTTACAAACTCGTGTAACATATAAAAATATAAAACAAAAATTAACCCGATTTAAGATTAGGGTTAGCTTTGGTTGAAGAGAGTAATAATTTTGCAAGGCAATTTTATAATCGGATTTTGAAATATCAACATACCTGTGCATGTACACAAAGGTTTAAAATTTTTATAAATTTATTGTTCATTTTAATTGTTTGATTCTGCAGTATGGTTTACTCCTTGTGTACTAACCTTTTTATTTTTTTCCAAGCAACGGCTTTATTAGACAACACTTGGATTTTGGTTCTGGAATCAGGTTCACCGGGGCATAATCATACCGTGCATTAAGTGCGTTTCTAAGTTTGCTCGAATGTTGATTTTGAATTTCCTTTTTTTCTTATACTTGCCATTTAGAGGGGTCGCTTAAAGCCAGGTACAGTAGGCGGCAAAAGTAACGCCCGATGGATTTTTTATAATAAAACATATGAAAAATTGAAATTTTTAGAATATATAAATGTCCATATTTTTTTTATTAAAAATTTTTTTTTAAATGTAATTAGTAAATTCAACATTTATACTCTAATAATCTATGAGTTTCGTCGGGCTGGACGAATTGGATTGATTATTTTTAAAATTATGAAGTTTACGATTCAAAATTTCATATGTAAAACATATAAAATTTGTAAATTTGACTTCAAAATTAAATATAAAATTTAAATTTTTTTTTAAAAAAAATTTAACTATAATTATTAATGGTATTACTATTATACTTTAAGGGCAATGTAAAATAAAAAATTATTTTTATAAAAAAATAAAAGTTTTAATATAAGGTCATATAAACTTAATTTTTTGGTTCTCATAATCCAGCCGGGTTATATTTGAAATTTTTTTGAAAAAAAATTTTTATATGTTTTAATAGGCGGGTGGGGTTTCAAAAAAAAATTTTAAAAAAATTTTATAAAATTTAAAATTTTTTATATATAAAATTTTTAAATAAAAGTCCAGGCAGGTGGGTTATTTTTTTTGTTCCATGTTATGAAAATCAAAAAATTAACTTTGTATGGCCTAACATAAAATTTGCAATTAAATTTTACAAATTTTACTTAGTAAAAACATAGTAAATATGTGAAAGGTTAAAATTATTAAAAGTCTAAAATTTTAAAAATAAAAATTTTTTAATTTTATACAATTAGAAAATTTGATATTTATATTTTATGATGTATAATTTTCACATGGTCCAAAAAAAAATTGAATTTTTTTACTAAAAAGAAAAATTTACTAAAAAAGATTTTATATATATTTTACTATAAAATTAATCATCAGGCGTTACTTTTGTTGTCTACTGTACATCATGAAATTGCCCGATGATCAATAATCATTGGACAATTATGGGATACGTGTTTGTTTACATTTTGGTATTAATGTTGGTGTTAATGCTGGTACTAATGTCAGTATCAACATTAATACCAACATGAAGTTAATATTATAGATCAATTGTATAGCATAATTTGTTAATAATAATAAAGTTAGTAAATACAATAAATAACTTATAACAGTAATAAAAAATAGGGTTAAAAAACTATGCAAACTCAATTACTATTTTCTTCACTTTGTTTTGTGTATTTTGGGCTTTTTTATATATTCTGTTCATACGAAGTTTATTAATATTTGCATAGTTTTGATATTAATATATGTATGAACGTTGATGTTAATGTTCATACGAATGTTGACGATAACATTTATATGAACATTGATGTTAATATTTATTCAAACATTGATGTTAACATTTATATAAATATTGATATTAACATTTATATAAATGTTGATATTAATATTTATATAAATGTTGATGTTAACGTTCATATGAACGTTGATGTTAACATTTATATAAATGTTGATATTAACGTTCATATGAATGTTGATGTTAATGTTCGTATAAACATTGATGTTAATATTCATATGAACATTGATATTAACATTCATATGGACGTTGATATTAACATTCATATGAACGTTGATGTTAACATTCATATGAACATTGATATTAATATTTATATGAATGTTAATGTTAACAGTTAATATTTGATCAGTTAACATTTGATGTTAACAGTTAATGTTTGCACAAAGTTTATTAATATTCATATAAATATTAATGTTAATGTTTGTATAAACATTGATATTAATATTTATATGAACATTAATATTAATAGTTAACATTTGTATGAATGTTGATATTAATAGTTAACATTTGTATAAATATTGATGTTAACAGTTAACATTTGTACAAAGTTTATTAATATTTATATGAACTTTGATGTTAACATTCATATGAACATTGATGTTAACATTCATATGAACATTGATGTTAACATTTGTGTAAATATTGATATTAATGTTTACATGAATGTTAATATCAATATTCATACGAATATTAATATTAATATTTGCATGAATGTTAATATCAGCATTCATATTAACATTTGCATGTATGTTTATATCCTTTTATAATTGCAAATTGGGATATATCATTTCAAATAAAGTAACTTTTAGAGAATAGCTGCTTGATCAAATTCAGTAATTTTTTTTAAATTTAATTCTATAGTTTAGTAGAATTGAAATAAAAAAAAGTTCATTGAATTATATTTAGCAGTTAGTGAGAAACTATCGCTAAAAGTTTTAAAAAAACCAAAATCAGATAAAATTTTCTTTGAACTTTAAA